AAAATTCAGTATAAACCAAATGAAATCACGCTCAACCGGTAAAACTTCCTCAAAAACATCATTTTGACCACAGAAATCTTAACAGTACTGCAGAAAGTTCAGTGTAAACGAAATTAACTTCAATGAAATCACGCTCAATCCGTGAAACTTCATCAAAAACATAATTTTGGTCACAGAAATCCTTACATTAATGCAGAACTTCATTGATACCTCAAATTTGAATACGAAATTTAGTATGAACTAACGGAACTTCAATGAAGTCAATGTCAATCTATGAAACTTTATCAAAAAAGCTTAATTTTTAACAAAAAATTAATATTAACCTAAGAAACTTCATCAAATTGTGGCTAAATTTAAGAATATGACCGAAACTGCAATTTTTATTCACTGAAGACAATCTCTAGCCATGAAACTTCATGAAAAACTTATATTTCCATAAAAAATTTAATTTCAACCTTAAAAAACTTCATTGAATCATAGCCAAATTTAGTAACATCTCCGCAATTTGAGGTTGTATCAAAAATTTCAATAATTCTTCAAATTTTTACTGAAAAATTAAGTATAAATCAAAGAACTTCATATAAATGACGAGAAACTTCATCAAAACCTTAATTTTGACCACAGAAATTTAACACTAAAAAAGAAATCTTTATTAAAACCACCACTTGTAGCAGAAAATTTAGTATGAATTGCAGAAACTTCAATGACGTCAATCTTAATCCATGAAACTTCGTCAAAATCTTAATTTTCCACGGGATATTTAACATCAACTTCCTTAAAACTTTGCCAAATTTAATGACATCGCCGAAATTTCATTTCGTCAAGAAAATATTTAACATAAATCGAAGAAACCTTATCAAAAGTTGCAATTTCATTTAAACCAAAATTGTAGCAAAAAATTTAGTATGAAATACAGAAAGTTTAATGAAGTCAATCTTAATACATGAAACTTCATCAAAATCTTGGATATTTAACATCAACTTTAAAAACTTGCTTTTCAAACTTAATGTTTTTGTCGAAACTTCAGTTTGTGTTGTAAATATTTACCATAAATCGAAAAAAATTCTATAAATCCTCAAGTTTTAGCCAAATCACACAAGAAACTTCATTAAAATAAGTACGAAGGCTATCACGGCCGGAGTTAATTGAACTAAAATTAGAACTAAAACTAGAAGTGATACTAGAAACTTTCGAAAACTCGAACTTCGAACCAGTTTCTGAAGAAATCTAATCAAGTTCAAGAAATGTAAACGAATTCTCTTCATTTTTAATTAACAGAAACTTCAATAATTCCCACTTCATGAACTTAACATGAATTAATTAATTCGTATCATGAAGTATCACATTAAACTGAACTTCATCNTAAAACTTTGCCAAATTTAATGACATCGCCGAAATTTCATTTCGTCAAGAAAATATTTAACATAAATCGAAGAAACCTTATCAAAAGTTGCAATTTCATTTAAACCAAAATTGTAGCAAAAAATTTAGTATGAAATACAGAAAGTTTAATGAAGTCAATCTTAACACATGAAACTTCATCAAAATCTTGGATGTTTAACATCAACTTTAACAACTTGCTGTCCAAACTTAATGTTTTTTCGAAATTTCAGTTTGTGTTGTAAATATTTACCATAAATCGAAAAAAATTCTATAAATCCTCAAGTTTTAGCCAAATCACACAAGAAACTTCATTAAAATAAGTACGAAGGCTATCACGGCCGGAGTTAATTGAACTAAAATTAGAACTAAAACTAGAACTAACACTAGAAACTTTCGAAAACTCGAACTTCGAACCAGTTTCTGAAGAAATCTAATCAAGTTCAAGAAATGTAAACGAATTCTCTTCATTTATAATTAACAGAAACTTCAATAATTCCCACTTCATGAACTTAACATGAATTAATTAATTCGTATCATGAAGTATCACATTAAACTGAACTTCACCTCAAATTATAGCTGAAAGTTTATATTAATCAAAGAAACTTGGTTGAAACCGATCCAACTTCATCAAAATCATGATTTTGTTTGGGAACCAAAAAACTTTCATTTCAATTTAACCAAATACATCGTCAATAAAATTTAAATATAACCACAAAGTTTATCTAGTTTACCTTGAATCTATGACCTTCAAGGCTTGCTGCAAGCAACCTTGGCCTTGAGATTAAAGATAAACTTTATCACCATGGTGATAATGAAGAAAGTTTAACATAACCTAAATTTTAAATCAATTAGTATAACTCTTTTTTTTTTAATTTTAGGTGATCGATAGATCTCATCGGTGAATACATCGATAAAGAAGATAAATTAGGAAAAGAAATAGTCCGTTTAGGGGGAGAGAGAGAGTTTTAGTTAGAGGGATAGTGGGTGGGTCGGTGCGGAAGGCGATATTTCGGGACGCGTAAGTAAACCCACCACGACGGAGTGCCCCAGGCAGCAGGGGCCACAAGCTCGTGTTTCGGGGAAGGACGTGGTTCCCCCCGCCAAGCGACGCTGGGTCCCCCCTTCTACTTTGCGCCATCAAGATGCAAACAGTACGCCGGAGAGTCGTAACGACATCGTCTTCAGGAAGGTGCGCGGCATCCTCAACAAGCTCACTCCCGAGAAATTTCAGAAGCTGAGCGATGACCTGTTGCGCATCGAGCTGAGCTCGAGCGTTATTTTAAAGGGTGTCATTCTGTTGATTTTCGACAAGGCCCTCGACGAGCCCAAGTACTCGTCTATGTACGCACAGTTGTGCAAGAGGCTGTCTGAGGAAGCACCTAATTTCGAACCGGCTAACAGACCGTGCACCTTCCGTGTCTTACTGCTTAACAAGTGTAAGGCCGAATTTGAGAATCGAGCCGCCACTCTTGACCAGTACGGACATGGCGATAACACTCTCGAAGAGGAAGAACGTCGGCAACTCGCCAAACGGAAAATGCTTGGTAACATCAAGTTTATCGGAGAACTTGGCAAACTGGAAATACTTGCGGAAGGGATTCTTCACAGGTGTATACAAGAACTTCTTATTACAAGAAAAGGTGACGACCCATCGGAAGACTTGGAATGCCTCTGTCAAATATTACGCACTTGCGGCCGAATCTTGGACACAAACAAGGGCAAAGGGCTGATGGACCAGTACTTTGAACGGATGGCGCTTCTCGCCGAGAACCAGGAACTCGCACCGAGGATTCGTTTCATGCTGAAAGACGTGATCGATCTGCGGCAAAACGAGTGGGTGCCGCGCAAAGCGACTATCGTCGAGGGCCCGATGCCGATACACCAGATTCGGCCGACAGAGGACGACCGAGTCGGCTTCCGTAGGGACCGCAACCAAGATTACCGCTCCGATATTGACCGTTCCGGTGGACACGACATCTTCTGGAACCCGATGAAGCTGCGTAGCGGCATCGACGAGATGCTGATGAATATCAGCACGTCCGGAACCAATCTTATCCCATCCTTCGGATCGAACGGATTCGGCGGACAGAGGGACTCTGGTGGTTATAGAAGCCACAATAATCAACGAAGCGGCTACAATAACTATAATAATCAACGCGGTCAATACAAACATAACCAGAACAATACCAACTCACAATACAATAATCGTAAGTTTATTCACCCTAAAAGTTTTATGTAATAATATTATTATTTCGCAATTAGAATCTAGTAAGGATATAGCACCAAGATTTAAGAAAAACTTTATAATGACCCACAACTTTGGAGAGTTAGAACTTCGTCCAGCATCTTACTCACTCTCCAATAAACCAATAAAAAATTCGAATAATGTCATAAATAACACACGTCCCATCGATCCTTTACCACAAAGTACACCAAAACAAGCGCCTGCACCTCTTTTAAAAGAGGTCCCAATCAAACAAGTATCTACTGAAAAACCTAAACAGGCTAAAAAAGATAAGGTAATAATTTTCTTTTCATTAAGGCCCACTTTTACCACCTTTTGATAAATTTATCCAATAGATAAATCCAGCTCTTAGGTGCATTACTACCATCTTTTAGTTAAATTTATCTTATAAATAAACCCATCTACTAGCCAATCACAGCGCGTAAAATAGCCGTAACCGTGGTAATAATCTCTTAGATAGCTTAACCAGAAGATGGTAGTAACGAGCCTTAGCCAATGAGAGTGCTTAAAACCGCCGTAACCATGGCAACTATCCTCTAGATATAATTTTTCTTTTTCCAATTGTTAGTAACACATTTCAAACTCCTTGTGATTTTTTTTTCTTTGTATTAATACATGTCTATAAATTTAGTACGACGTTTCGAGCGAAATATTCGCCCATCCTCAAGTACTTAACACATTTAACATCAAATTACTATAACCTATCTCGTTATCTCAACTAAAATTTAAAATTTAAACAACATACAACACAAAAATTCTTTAAGACAAACAACATCAAAATCTAAGTATAAAAATATAATAAGTAAATGGGTTTTCATCCATTTTTTTAAAAATAAACAATGTTTATACTCCAATATATTTTATAAATTTATTAACTCTGCCGGTTTAGGCCTAGACCATCGTCAGGAGTCTCGTTGCATAAGGTTGAGGTTAGGAAACACATTCAATTTACATTCAATTATATTCAAATTTTGATATATCATTAATGAACTGTAAAATGAAATAGAATGATGTATTGAAACGGATGTATATCGAAAGTTTTAACAATTATTGTATTACCTAAACTTAAAAAACGAGATTCTCGTTTATACCCCTTTAGAGGGCGCTAGGGAAGTTTAAGGTATGGTTGAAAATAAGGTATTAACCAGTAGTACCTACATACAAAATTTCAAATTCTACGGTTTACTTACAGCCAAAATACAAAACGAAATGTAAATTTTTGGCTCAACTTTGATCGCTCATAGCTCGAAAACAAAAGAGTTTCGACCCTATGTTTATATAAAAAATTTGTGTTATTTTGGCAAGTACTACATCCTAGTAAAGTTTCCCGATTAAAAACTCATATTGGTGTTGTTTTAAATGTTTGTGCAGATGTTGTTTTGATTCTGCTATGTAAAATTTGTTACAGTCCTCACATTCGAGTTGATAAATTGTATTTATTTTATCCATAGGTTTTATTTTG